TACAAAAAGTAATTTCACACATTTTTACAAGTTACAAATAATTTTTTAAAAATAATTCGTAATTTTTACAAAATTTGAGAACCAAAAATATATGTAGATTCAAGCGCATTTAAAATATTTGTGATAGTTCTTTCTGATGATAGCTGAAAGAGATTGACGACTTCATGTTACAGTCAAAGAGCGCTAAAGACGTTGCTATCAGTGATTTACTTTTAGAATTAAAAGTTAAATTAGAGAAAAAAAAGTTTTTTTAAAAAAAAAACTAAGCATCTCAAACAAACAAACCTCCTTTTTAAGGAAAACTAATTTTTACAATATAAAATTAAATGCAAACTTACACAAAAAAAACATAATTGTTTATTCATTTTAAATAGTTCTGTCATTCATAATTGGTAATTTTTTTTTACACATCAGTAGGGTTCATTTTTACTGACGCTAAATTTATTCATTGATCCCTTTTCATGACCCCAACACAACTGGCTTTTCCGCACTAAGAAAATGACAGTGAGTAAAACTAAAATCACTCGCGAAAAATCATGTACCTTCGATAACGATTTGAAGTAAATGGAAGTAACCCCTAAAAACGACCAATCTCCTTTAACCTCCTGTGGAACAGAGTTGGACGTTCCCAAGAGGTTTCACTGTACTACATGCATCAGATGTAGCACTAAACTGCTTCCATATCAACTTGTATAAAGCTAGCAAAAATGTGAGTCGCCGCTCAAATCTCCAACATATCGACATCTTGATTGACAAATGTAGTTAATTAAGATTGTTTATACAGTGTTAATCACCTCCCTTTCTAAGAGTCTATTATTTTCATGAAAAGAATCTGCAGATTACAGGCATAAAGCGAAATAAACGAACAGGTTCTAAATTTTGAGAAACGCTTCAAAAGAAAATTAATATCAACAGTTTTTCTAATCGTTTCGAATTTTGATTTTTTTTTAAAGGACCACTTGGCGGTAATAATTTTAATTTTGTCACATAATTTACAGATCTTACATTGGAAGAGGAGAAATAAAAAGAGGCAATGTTAACAAAATTTAGCGAATCATTATCAAGGGGGTTAAAATTATGTGTCAAAAAAATCAAAATCACTTTGTTTACGAAAGGAAGCTATTAAAAGGAGGGAGAAATTTATTATTGGAAACGACTTCCAGCTTATAATGATTGGTCAGATTTTGATCACGTGGTTTTGTATTTATTTATCACTTAAACGCGGTTGGAGAGTGCGGGGCGGAGGCCTCGTAATTAATACCACTATATATTCTCTGATCTAAATTGTGGTAATTTAGTGTGCAGTTTTTTCTTTAGGTTATCAAGGAGATAGAATCCCAAACCGTCGCCGATAGCCCATTAGTATAACTATTGTGTTAAGTTGACAACGAAACCTCACACAAACATTAATTTGAGAAACTTGTCTTGATTTGCTGTTTAAGTTTATTTTCAAGGGATTTTCAAAATCTATATTAATGGTGTTGATTACAAAACACTATGTATATTTCAAATAGAAAATATTTATGCTAAGTTTCTTATAGTTTTTACATTGAAAACAGTATAATATTATAAAAACATTAAAATATTTTTAAAAAAAACATTAAGAAAACATTAAAAATTATCATTTAAAAATATAATTTAAATGCATTAAGAAATGACGTTATTAAAAAGAGTGTTGTACTCTTTTAAGGCATAAAAAACGACTGTAAGGTATTTTTAGGTATAACCAATTATAAATGTACTTTAAGAGATATAATAAAAATCTTAAATTGATTTAATTGTTGATTATGATAAGTTAGAACAAATTTATCTTATTAAATATACGTATAGTATTAATTATAGTATTAAGTAACTTTTCCCCCTATTTATCGTATTAAATTTATTAGTATCAAAATATCATTGCATCAAATCCCTTGTGTCAAAAACTGTATAAAAACACAAAGTACTTATTAAAGTTATTTTTGACAAGATAAAAAAGATTTTAAAAAATATTGAAGAACATAGTTGTTTGTTTATTAAAGAACATTTCAAAAAATCAATAAAATCGGAAAATAAATGCTGTATTATATATCATACTTTATCTCGTTTTTGAGCAAAAGGTATGTCTTATTTTTATTAACATCGCCTGAAATTAGTTCTATACAATCGTGAATATATCGCAAACCAACCTTATCAAGATTGTAAGTCTTCGAATCTAGCGCACCCTCGTGAATTTTGACATATTTATAATATATCACTGCCATGAAGGACGGCAGAAAATCGGTCACACCCTATTTTAGACGAGAAAGATTCGAATAATCTCTGCTGGGCCTCTAATCAAGTTTTCCAGCACATAACCTTCCACGGAAAATGTTCCATTCGAATCTCCCTCCAGAAAATGGCTGCAGCAGACGATTCACAAATTGGACAAGACCGTGAAATGGACTTTGCTTGTTCCTTTACTTCTAATAGCTCTCTGTAGAATAATTAAATAACTGACTGCTGTTTCGGTTTTCCCTTTTTTACGAGGCAATAAATCGAAAAGGGTAAAAAGAATTCGTAATATTCATTTTGTCGTCCTATTACAATAAAAGATTGTTTTTTCGAACTGGTACAAACATTGAAGTAATAAAAACTATTGATTTTCAACTAATTGCTACGGTTCGTAACTTTAGGTGGGAAACTATTATTTCATTCAGATTTAAAACAATACTGGAGAATTAAAATAAAACTTGGTGAAGTAAAAGAATTGAAACTGCTATAAAATATATAAGGGAGAGTCGAGTAGCCCCGCCCGCTTAAGGATTATTGTTTATATTTCCGTATAATATTGAGTAATAATCAATATTTTTATATGTTTCTATTGTTTTATCATCTAATTAAATAATGCAAAAAGAATAGTTTAACTTAAAAAAATAGGAATTTAAAAAAACATGTTTTTCAGGTCTTTTCAAAATGTGTCGGGTAGCCCCGCCCAGTTACAAAAATTATGTTTTTTGACTGTTTTTTCAGGTGTAAATGAAAATGACCAATGTATTGACAATAGATAAACCTCATTTATCATTTTTATCACAAAATTATTTTATTTATTACATATTTTGTACTTTTAGTGAATTCTATCATTAAATAGCAATCATTTAATAACAGCAATATTTGTTGTTAAAAATGCATATAACATTCAAATTTGAAACAATAAAATAATAATCTTTGCAATCGTACATTTACCGACGAAATAAAATTGGGCGGTGATACCCGACATTCATGTGAGCGGGGCTACCCGAAATCCAATTTTTTTGTAAATTCGTAATTACTCGAACAATTTTTCACACATAGACTTCTTTCTTTGTGCAAATTAAGCTTAAGACTACATACTTTAATGCTGTGTAGAAAAAATTATTTTTTTAGTATTAAAATGAAGTTTAATCGAAACAATCAACCAATTTTTCTTAATTTCATGACTACTGTATTCAACATATTTTCAAAACTATTGTTTACCATGTTAACAGCTGCATAAATGCTTGAAACTTTGAAAATAATATTTTTTTAATATAACAATTAATGTCCGATGGCCCATTGACTTGAAAAAGTATTCTATACATATGAAATTGACAGTGGGCGGGGGTACCCGACTCTCCCCTACTGCCGTTAAATATTAGAATATCATTGCACGTCTCTGTTATTGCTGTTTTAAGAACAGGAGTAATATCAAAATGTTAAAATAAAGCAACAAAAAAAAAATTTTTTTTAAATTTGCTGGTTTTTGATATAAGTATAGTCTTTGTCCCATTGCATAGAAAAATGGCCAAAGGATCTGAGAAATGATTCTTATTTCTAAGATCTCGTGCCCTGCTGTTTCAAAACATAAATGTTTAAAAAATGTAATATGGCCGTAATATGTACTATGCAAAATAAACAAGTGCACATTTTTTCTGTGTAACATTCTCATAAAAAAAATATTCACAACGAGCATATAGCATTGCAAGGTTAAGAAGACGACATTGTCTCTAAAATAAGGCTAGTTTAATTTTGAAACTAGTTTAATTAATTTATCTCAGATTGTTTACTTCAAGTAGGAAATTGCAAGTATCCTATCCCCTTCATTAATGGCTTGTTAGGTCATTCATTAATAATTTTAATTTTTAGATTTAATTATTATTATAATATTAATTGTAGGCTTAATTAATTTATTTCAGATCGTTTACTTCAAGTAGGAAATTGCAAGTATCAATAATCGCTTGTTAGGTCATTCATTAATAATTTTAATTTTTAGGTTTAATTATTATTATAATATTAATTATAGGCTTAATTAATTTATTTCAGATCGTTTACTTCAAGTAGCAAGTATCATTAATCGCTTGTTAGGTCATTCATTAATAATTTTAATTTTTAGGTTTAATTATTATTATAATTTTAATTGTCCTATCCCCTTCATTAATCGCTTGTTAGGTCATTCATTAATAATTTTACCTTTAAAATTAGTTACCATGGTTGAAATTGTGTCAATTCCGTGCAAATTTAAAGATTCTTTATCTGTAGTTCCCGTCACAATGTCTCGAGTTTAGATATGTCTTCGCTTACTAACCGTAGCAGCTTGCATTTGCAAGCCGGAGCACTAACTCCAGACCATGTTTTTGACTGCCAGGCCATTATCGGCTCCCTCTTTAAACTTGGAGCACCTCCCATCGAAATTCTCCATGGCCATCGGGCTCCAGAACTTGCAAACCTTGTTATCAAGACTTTTGGAGGACTCTAATCTTTGCACTAGCATAGACACGACAACAACAACAACAGCACTTTGTTTCAAGTTTCAAAATTATGTTTTTTCTGATCAATTTTTCATCGCTACATACTTAATAATTTTTGAGAAAAATTAACTAATAGGAGTTCAAAACGTATGCTGCATATCAATTTAACGAAACCTCCTTACTCTGGAAATAAAGGTGACTAATTTTTTTCAGGCAGTGAGCTTATATTACAAAGATAAATTTATTTAATAACCACAATTTCCATTTTTTTTTCAGGCTGTAGCACTCCCTTGGGATTGATGACAGGTGCAGTTCAGGATTGGCAAATAAGCGTCAGCTCAATGGCTGATCACCGGAAAGATCCCGGATGTCACATGCGATATGCCAGGATATATCAGCCACCCGGAAGAGCTTGGTGTGCCGGAAGAAAAGCGGCCATGGAATGGATTCAAGTGGATCTTGGAGTATCTGCCATAGTAGGATTATTATTTATTAATAGAAGTACTATTCTTTAAGGGCAAAACAACGAGGGGGGGACCTCAGATATTTGTTTTTTGTATCGAGGTTGATGCATAGGTTGTATCCTTTATCCCTCCCTGCATTTCAATCATTTACACGAGTATCAAAATTAATGTTCTGTACAACCATAAGCACTATCAAGCCTGAACTGTTTCCAATAAAATCTGAAAAAGATGCTGGCTTATTTGCTAGTGGTAGGCTGGCATTCAGGTTCTTATCCCATTGAAATCTCCTCTGGAAAGTCTGGCATTGGCATCCCATTTGGCAACTCTGGTTAATTGACATTGACCACTCATTTGGCAACTCTGGATAGTTTATATCGCTATCTCATATGGCAACTCTGGTTAATGGACAATGTTTATATGATGCATTATACATCATAGTATTAGCGTGATATAATTAATGAACGAGGTAGATTCAGTCCAAAATAATATTTTTGTGTTGCTATTTTTCGTTACTTTGCGAAGCAGTAGAATATTTTGTGGTGTTTCGAAAATGTCTTAAAAATAAAAGCATTCAAATGCTAGTATATTTTGTTCTGCAAAAGAATGAAATGGCAAAATTCTGTAGAGCCGAATACATCCTGTTCTCCAGTTGTGCCATAAAATTTCTCGAAAAAGTTCATATTACCACATTTTGGATGCTATGTGCCACATTGCCAATAATTATTAACTCAGATTTTGTTGTTACTGAATAAGAGAAAATGTATGGAAAGTAAAGAACCTGTATTTTTAAATTCTATCTCAACTTTATGTTACGTTGGTTGTGCTTATGTTACGCTCCAAAGTATATGCCAATTTACTTAATCTTGGATAAGCTTGTATGTTACATATTTGTCTGTTAAATGCTAACAAGTGGGTAGAACAATTTTTATTAAAAAAGATATTGTAGAAAAAATCAAAAAGTAACTTCATATCACCTTATTTCAGCATTTCCTGTCTTTCCTTTTTTGGGCAATTCTACGGTTTTGTCCTACCCGCAACACATGGAACTAAGTATTAAAAAAATATTTTGTAAATATGTAACTATGTCTAAAATATGTTCGAACCAAATGTAAATGCTTAAAAATAATTTTATTCACTTTCAGAAAAGAAAAAAAAAACTACGTAAAATTATGATTTCTGATTATCCCACCACCCTTGTAATTTTTCGATAATTCTTCAAATTATTCCATGTTTTATGGTCAGTTAAGAATGTAAACAAATGTACAAAAGAAAAATAATTAATTAAACTTCAGAAATGGGCATCAGTCGAAATTTAAAATATGTGAGAAGAGTCATGCTCACATGAACATTCGTTATTCAAAATAAATACTAACGCATACTGTACAATATTAATATATAAAATATAAAAATTTCAATAGTTTCTTAAAATTACTATTCTTTTAATGTTTTTGAAATTTAAAAATATTTTCACAGTTGGTAGAAGGAAAAAAAATTTATATAAGAATCATGAAATGCTAAGATCATTATTACATTATTTCTTACCCACAGATAACAGGGATGATGACACAAGGGCGTGGTGATGGTCATCAGTGGGTCACTTCGTACTTGCTATCTTACAGCTTAGATGCTTATCATTGGAAATACTGTACTGACGTCTACAGTAACAGAAAGGTACAGTAACATGGCATAAATACATTCAAAGTCTTCCTATTTCAAAGTAGCCATTTTATTTGTTTGTTTATTTTAATGCAGGGTGTTTCATTATGTCGCCTTTAATGTGCAGAACAAAGTGCTTATAAAATAACTTATGGTTAAATGGAGAGCATATTCTTTGAGAAAACGGTATTTGTTCCCCTTTTTTCATACTGAAAGAATAATTCAAACACTATGTGAAATATGTTTTACTGTGCAGATCATACTTTGATAAAAAGAATAATAATAAATAAATAAATAAAAAAGATGTTGTAATTTGAAAATTTTTAACTTTAGTTGGAGTAAATATAACCATGTAAACCGGATACTTGCTTCACTTCATTACTTTTTTTCACTTCACTTTGATTTACTTCACTTTCACTTCAATTTTACTTCACTTTCACTTCAATTTTACTTCACTTGAACATATACCTAATAACTTTTAACAAAATTTTATTCCGTTTTTTCAGATGATATACTCGCCAAGGTTTTGATTGGTGATGTTTTTAGATAATTGATTCACGGGGGGAAAAAAGGAAGAGGAAAAAAAAAACACTTATGAGAGAAAAATTTCTCTAACTCTGACAAATGACGATTGCCGAATCAAAACTTTAAAAAATCCAAATTAATAAAGTTTTGTCTGAGATAAAAGCATATCACTTAATAACAGAATTTTTATAACAAGTTATTTGAATACTGGATTATCTAAACCAGTAAAATCAAGTTCAACTTTTTCAGAAGAGTTAAATGTTTTGCTTGAATTACTTTTCCTAGCAGCCTTTACTAACATAATTCTGAAAACTGGCAATCTCTATTTTGGTATGCTGTTAAAAATCAAACACCACAGAAATGGATTATTTTCTTTTTAGCGAACTAAAGTATTGTTTCTAAAGAATAAAATTTTGGAATTGAGTGATTTCGTGAAAATCATTTTGCAATTCTTAGTTTGTTATTAACCGATTTCCGATATTCAAATCAGGAAAAAGTTATCTACAATAATAAAAATGTTGGTAATGAAATAACAAATAAATAACCAAATGTGTTTGAAATCTCCAATAATTTAATTGAAACGTTATGGGAAAAAATGTAAAAAAACTATTTAATTGTAATGAAAAATTATAAAATGTGTCATTATTTTAAATGTTTGAGAAAAAATTTCGACTGAAACCGGAAAAGTTGGCAGGTCTGTAATTGATTGTCTTATTTTACTGAAAATGATTGTATATATGCCATAGAAGAAAAACATAGAGCAAGAAAAGAAATAAAGCTATGTTTTTTACTCCAAAGCCTATTTCATTTTCTAATTTTAATTTATAAAGTTTTCTTTCCTGTTTCAATTTTGCCTAAAATCTAATCCGTATAGCAATTAACAATGCATTTAAGGAAATTTCATTATTAAAATTATAATTGAACAAAAATAAAACAATGACTTTGTTTTTTAGACATTTAAAGGTAATATCGATTCGCACTCTACTCACACTAGCTATTTGGAGCAGAATGTGACGGCCCGTTTCTTAAGATTGCATGTCCTCCAATGGCATGAACATCCAAGCATGAGAATAGAACTACTAGGATGCCAAGGTACTTTTTATTTCCAACGATCTCATTTTTTCATATTTTAGCGTAGGAAATCATCTGTGTATGCAAAAAAAAATTTAATGTGGTTAACTGTTAGTAAAGTTGCATCAATAATCAGTTCTTAAGAAAAAAAAATTATACACTCAGGTATAAGTATGAGATACCACTACTCTGAGTTGGACAAAAATGTAATCAATTACATTTTTGATTACAGTAATCAATTGCTTGTAATCATGACTACGAGATAACTTAATTTTGATTACAACTGTTATCGTGATTACAACAAACAATAACAGTAATCAATTACTTGTAATCGTGATTACAACTTTCAAAAATTTTTATTACAGCTGTAATCATGATTACAATATTGATTACAACTACTTGTAATCAGGATTACAAGTAATTGATTATAATAATTAGTTATGTAATCACGATTACAGTTGTAATCAAAATTATGAATGTTTGTAATCATGATTACAAGTAATTGATTACTGTAATTGAGTATTGTAATCATGATTACAGTTGTAATCAAAATTTCTAATCATGATTACAGTTGTAATCAAAATTTGTAATCATGATTACAAGTAATTGATTACTGTAAGTGAAAAATGTTATCGATTGCATTTTGCTCTACTCTGATGTAATCAAAAATTATGATTACTTGTAATCATGATTACATGTAATCGTGATTACAAGTAATTGATTACATAGCAGTAATTATCTGTAATCAATTACAGTTGTAATTAATACAGTTGTAATCAATTACAGTTGTTTTTAAAAGTTTAGTCATACGCGTCGCTTTTCGTTTCCGTCAGTAGTTGCACAAATTTCGAGCATGGTCTACTTTGTTGTCCTCTTTCCAGCTTTAAAAAAAGTGTCTTGAGCCATAGGTGAAGTTGCCGTTCCGATAAACAATCACAACCGTTTTTATCACGCTTGCATAAAATAGGAATAGTCGGGTAGAACTGAGCGGCCACTCATACATGAATTGGCCACACCCAACAATCTTAAACGAGAACGCTGTAACGTTTTACAGTAAAATCGCTTGTGTATAGCTTTAATATCTAGATTTAATGAACTTATTAACAATAACTTGAGTAACATCCCAAAGAGCAACTATTATTTTTATAATCGTAGTAATTTTTTGTGTATACATTTAGATTGCAACTCCATTATTAGTGTTCCACCTCAAGCTCAACTGACGGCCTCATCATCCAGACCCTGGAGCAAGCAGGGCACCTGCACGCCAGAAGATGCTCACATATTTAGCTTTGGCGGCTGGTGTGCTAAGCACAGTGACAGTAAGTTTCGTCTTATCTTAAATTAAAAGCATTAACAAACTATGAATTTAATTGTTTGAATAAATTTCTGAAAAAAATGCATCATTTAAAATTTCGTTACACTCTTTTTTAATATACATGATGATATCATCAACAAACTTTCATCAAACTTTGCCTATCGCTATGTCATATGTAGGCCTTCATAATAACCAAATAAAAGCAGAACTTTAAAAGGTTTTTGGTGTTTCATATAAATTTCGTGTCCTTCGGAAACATTTTGAAAAAAGAGAAATTCCATTTTATTTTGTAGCACATGTAAGTTTTCAGTGGCTTCTGAAATTATCTATCACCATTTATTTATTCAAAAATAAAGAAATATAATAATAGTAAATAAATAAGATATGTGACCAAGTAGGAAAAAAATAGTTCAACGTGAAACATATAATTCCCAAATCATTCTTTAATCATTTAGGGCATATATGTATATCTATTTTCAAAAGCAATCTGATATTTTAAAACAATTTTTATGTTTTTATAAATAATTTCCAATTGTTTTTTTTTAAGCAGTTTGTCACTGATTATAGAAATACTTTGCATCTGTTTTTATGAAGAAAAAAATTGCAATTGTTTTTAGAAACAGTTCGCTATGGTTTTTAGAAATAATTTGCATCTGTATTTAAGAGAAAATTAGCTACTATTTTTCATAACATTTTCGAATCTACTTTTTGACTGTTCTGATGACCAGTCAAAAGAGTATCTAAAAACAGATTTTATTTTTCAACGTCTTCTTACAAAATGGCATAATTTAGTTCAATAATGTACTTAATTTATTATTGTGCACACAGTACGACAGTGGCTTCAGATAGACTTAGGTCCACCAACAAGAGTGACTGGAGTAGTTACTAAGGGAAGAGGAGACAGCAGAAGGAAACAGTGGGTCACTTCGTTTGCCCTCTCATACTCCAATACTACGAGCCACTGGCAATACTACAAAGACGATAACCTCGTTAGTCCCAAAGTAAGTAAAATATTCAAACTCTACTCTAATGGATCAATCTAACATTAGTTTTGTCATCGAAAAACAAAATATTTGAGATAACGCTACGTAACAAAATCGATGTATTTTTGGAATTGCTAAAAAAATAACATGTTATTGAATAATTCAGTAACATTAATTATATTATAATTAATTATGATATAATTATTCATGATTAATTATATTAATGGCTAATTATATTAATGATTAATTATATTAATGATTAATTAATTATAATTATATAGTAATTATATCATAATTATGTGAGCCGGGATAGCCTGGTCGGTAGGGTGCTGGGCCCATGTCCGAGAGTTCGTGGGTTCGAACCCCAACGGCCGAAGTAGTAAAGAGACTGATGCACGTTAAATCTGTAGAGTAGCAAAAGTCCCTATGTTCCCATAACAAATCAAAACCTCTGGGGGTACTGAATTGGAGATCGATCGTTCTCTGATTCAGGTCAAAATTACGATCTGTGGATGAATGAATAGGTTCGCCCTATAAATGGGTGTGACGTATGGTGTTGCAGAAGTCAAATTCTTGGCCATAGATGGCGCAACTGAAAAACAAGAACAATCGCCCCCCCCCTCTGCCTAAACAGGCATACGTCAACAACAACATTATAATTATGTTATGTAATTATATCATGTATATGGAACTATACGATTTTATTCATTTGGAAAAAAACTTTTTTCTTTATGTTTAAAATGTGTCTTTTTCCAATTTCGTACCTGTTACATTCGTAACCTTTTTTTTCTAATTCTTTAATAATAATGACGATGGGGAAAATATGGTAAGTCGTGTATTCTAAGTACCATTGAACATAATTTTACTATAGTACGTTGAGTACGTTTAGTATTTAGTTCTTATTTTTAGTTAATATTTAGTCCTTCTCCCTCTGAACCAATATTCATTTTACCGTTTTATATTGTTATTTCTTGACTGAAACAGACTGTCCGAAATGTAATCGACAACTTAAATAACCAATTAAAGAGGAATGAAATATGATTAGAAATATACAGCTTGCTGCCCTCCTCTCGGAATTTCAAAAGAAGTTACAAAAATTATCAACTACGGACTGAAAAAATATCAATGAATGTTTTTGGCTGCATGTCAAATCATTTTAATTGAAGCTGCTGCAGATAGTGGAATGTTTTGAAAACGTTATTTTACAGTTTCTCTCAGCAACGAAATCTTTTGGCGAACTTTGTAGGCATTTCGAAACTTTAGTTAATTGAAAATATACCGAAGAGCCATTACATTATGACCACCCTCCATCTATAACAATGGGCTCTCCCAGATTTTCATGATTTCTCGCCCAGGAACAATGTTTTCATTGGGCACATTAGGACCCATAATCCTCATAGAACAATCCCTGACGTCTGTAAGTTACATGAACATAACATAGTTGCAGACCAGGTTCACCCATTCATGGCAACAGTTTTTCCTGGGGGGAATGGTGTTTACCAACAGGATAATGCACCATGTCATAAGGGTCGAATCATCGAGGAACATTCCAGTGACTTTCAAATCATGTCTTGGCCCCCAAATTCACCTAACCTTAATCCCATAAAGCATTTGTGGTCCTACTTGGAAAATCAAATTCGTGCTGCCACACTACCCCCTCGCAATGTGAGGGAATTGCAGGACCAATTGGAAAGCGCTTGGTACCAGATACCCCAGACTACCGATCAGCACCTTGTGTCATCAATGTCACGGCGAGTGCTAGCAGTTTTGAGGGCTAAAGGTGGTCCTACATGTTATTAGCAGGGTGGTCATAATGTGATGGCTCTTCGGTGTAGGTTTCCAAAGAAAGACTCTGAAAACCGTACATTTTTTTAAAAATCTTTTTACCTTTTGTTTTAAATGTTTTTTCAAATCATTGATAATTTTTGGCACACTCGGTAGTTGCTCAACAAAATGAAGATGCCCCGGTCTTTTAATTTTTACTCCACAAAATAGGGTGTTTGCATATAAATAACTTACAGTACATAATTATATTTAAAGTGTATATTTTTAACTTACATATAAGCTATCTTTATAACTTATTGTAAGCGTTACATTTTTATGGGTTTTTAAACCAGGAATTCGGTGGAAACATGGATAAGAATACGGAACGTCGGCATTACTTCAACCTACCATTTACAGCTCGCTATGTAAGAGTCCACCCAATGACATGGAGAGGTAGAGTTAGCATGAGGTTGGGTCTAATAGGATGTCAACTTCAAGGTAAATGTATGTTTTATGCTATTTTAGATAAATCTGATTCATAGTAAAAAATATTATTTGTACAGATTCGTTAGATTTCTATAGCGTTTTTGTTATCACTTTTTTAAAAAAAAAAATTTCATAATATTTGCAGCCGTTATGAATCTTTTTGCAAATTTAAACAAGCTTATTTTTTACTAAAGGCACGTCTAATTTAATTCTAACTAAATATCTTAGAATTCCTATCTGAACTTTTAGGGTCGCTTACTGTTCAAGTGAGAAACAAACAGAAACATTATTAAAATTTATTGAATCATTACAAAACAAAGCTAGATTCCAAACCAGTTTGATTGCCTGAGAAACCCAAAGGCATTTTTATTTAAGCGGCATTCTTCTTAGTCATTAAAATTAGCACCGCACATTTTAATCCCACCTTAGTTCAATAAGGATTCTTTAGATTTTGATTATAAAGTTTTTGTTTAATCCACCCTTAATATAACCCAAACGTGTACAATTTTTAACTTCCAAAAATTGACAAGGATTAATAAAAATATAATATATAAAGAGCGATTAGAGAGCAGAAAATAGTCATGCATCTTCAGAAGCTGCCGAATCTTCTTAAGTAGTCCGAAACTGTAGCCAGAAATTTTCCCTTCGAAATTTGTTAGGAAAGAAAATATGAACATGGATCTAAATGTGAATCTTCATATGAAGATCTTCATGAAAGAAGAATTATTTGGTTGTGATCAGCATAAAAATTAATTCTAACGTAAAATACCTGTAAAATATTTTTTTAATTCCGAACCAAGACTGAACTTTATTGTAACCGCCTATACAAGCACGTTCATCTGTAGTAAAATCTTATCTCTAGTGATCCAGATGGTTCTATCTAGCGCCCCTGAATTAGATTATAGTAGCCTAGTTCTAGAGTATAGAAGCCTGGTATAGGAGCCTTAGTTCTATCTAGATAACTTATCGTTACATATCATATAATCTCGACATTAAGAAGTATTCCAGGTGATGTCATTGCAAGCAAAGAATATTTCGGTAACCTTCAGATACGGGGTTTCAGCAAAACCCCATATATGGAAAATTGTCACCAAGCCAAGGATCCTCCGATTCTATACCTTAACCACAATCAATAATTATATTTAAATGAAACAATATTCGCTTCGTGTTTCATTTATTATTTTAGTATTTTCATTGATTTTATTATTATAACAGAGAAGAAAGGATGCATAGGTGTTTATTAAGAACATCTTTACTCATGAAAATTTCTAGTTTAGGTTTTCAATTCTCTTATAATTAAGTTATAATTATGTTATAACTAAATTGAAAGACGTTAATTTTTAAACATGATAAATCATGTTATTATTAAAATTTTTTAAATTGGCTTTGTTCAAATATAACAAGTAATATTGACTTATTAGCATACAGACAGCTCAACCAATGTGTCGCAACTGGATACCTGCAAGTGACGTCATCGTAGAGAAATCTAGAGTCACTGAATTGGGTATACTATAGCCTACGTCACAGATCGTGTTATTCCTACTAAATTTAACTAGTAAACAGCATTTTCTGCGAACTTGATTTCTAGCAACAAGTAAAAGCATCAAACGAAGTGTCTTGTTATAAGTCGCTACTCGCCAGGTTGGAATTGTATTAGTCTAGTTCCTTTGGAAATAATTTATATTGTTGTTTTACTGAAGTTTATGAATTTAGTAAGCATATTTAAAACTCAGTTTATTAATTAAACTAAAAGGTAAATGTTATTCCTAGTAAGTGGAAGTAGTTGTGCTTTTTTCATATTATACCCAATTGGAGTGGCCGACTTATCCGCCATCTCGGAGCAAAAGCGGAACCAATGCAGAAGAGCTGCAAGATTTGGCAACTTATAGCTGCAAACGACGCTAACCTCAACTAAGATAATCCGTTAACAAAAAAAAAAATAAAAATTTAGAAAAAAAAAAAACGTGTTTGCTTGTGATTTAATTATTTTTAGAAATGATAAATATTTTTAGAAATGATAAATGATAAATAAAAAACGTGATTTAATTATTTTTAGAAATTTTTTTTTTTATGCTTGCACAAATTCATTTCAAAATTTATCATTATTATTTAAAATGAAAATATTATTCATTACTAGATAGAAACAGTTTATCACATTTTTGGTTCTTCAATAATAATAAATTAAGAAAAGAAACAAGCAAATGGAGGAGAATCAGTAAATTTATAATTACTTTAGATATAAGCTCATCTAAAATTGATCGTAGTTTTGGACAACCACTTCCTTTTCAGTCTTTTTGGAAAAGGTCGATTTTTACTAGAAATAGTTTAGAGATGTTTTAAAAATTATTCCCAATTCGATGAAAAATAATCTGTAGTTGTTGCAATAATCTACAGCGCCCACTGACAGTTCATAGGTAAAACAATTTATTTTTAAATTTTAAAAGTCAATATTTATACTTTAAAGCAAGTGCTGCTGCCATTGAGGAAAAGTTGGACTGTACAAGTTGGCAGGTAATGTATCATTCTCAAAATAAAGATGCCTTCAAATATTATAAAGTGGAATCTTCTCTTTTATTTTACAGGGGAATGTGGCCAAGGATTTTTTAGAGTTCACACTGATTCAGAATGTGGTAAGTAGATCCTAAATCACTTTAATAATTTTTAAAAAAAAACATTCAACGAATAATATGAGTTATATTCATACAATAAGGCTGTTTTTCGACTGATAATGCAGACATCAAAATATTAGCTTGATTATTTATATGCACTAGTCTATGGTGCACCTAAATTATTTTGTTACCTAATTATATAACTAGATGGTGCACTATATAGTTATATAATCATTTAAAATTGCTCACACGTATTGGCAATAAGGGCAGATTTAGATATAGTCTTTATGTCGCTCAGGGATCCACCCCCTTGGTGAACAAAATTAAATTTTAAAAAATGGAAAAACGGACATTTTTAAAAGATTTTAAAATAAAAAACTTTTAAAAATGTTTGTTTTGTTTAGAATTTTAAGATTATTATTTTTTCCTTAAAAAAACTGTATTTTTTAACAATTACATTATACTAAAAAATGTCAGAAAACGTGTCTATTATTTGAATGGTACAACTCATGAACATTAGATTATAAAAAACAACAAAAAGTCTTCAGATTGGTCTAACCAATCTAATATTAACGAAAATATTTTGTAAACACAAAATATTCGTCAAACAATCCAAAAATAATGGAAGCTCTTTATTTTAATGATATGCCACATTTTTTAATTGTTCAGAAGTACATTTTAACTGATAAACATTGCTTATATGCGACAGAATTTAATACAGTTTATATAGGCAATGAGATGTTAACCTTAGGAAGAACAGTGAAGAAATAAATATGACACATATGCACTGCCAAAACTCAATATTTTGGAACTTATTATTTTCTATGACGCATTGATTTAAGTAGTGTCATTTACTTTTTAATTGATTGTGCACTTCGCACTGAAAATTGCAGTAAAAATTTCCTGCTTTTGATAAATAAAAAAAGTGAATTTTAACGTTATTAAAGACATTTGAGAAATGAATTTGCACTGCGAGACCTAATTTTGTTTGGACATCAATATTTTCAACGTAAGTCATTCTTCAAAATGATGTCTTCTTACTGCAACTTCCTCTAATATTGACACTAGAAAACTAATGTTTTGAGTGAAAGGGGGACAGTTGTCTTTTGAAATGTTCCGTGAAAGTCTGCAAGAATTTAAATCTATCAAAATCACCTAAAGATGTATTCTTAGTATTTATATAAAGACTAGCATTTTTTCTTTTTCTTTACCCAAATTAGATTTGGAAACTTAGCAAGAGTTTTGGAATCTCTTAAATCATATGACGTTTAATCTATCCAACCCAAGCGTCGTGTTCATCCTGAAGTCCCCTTCCTCCATTTTTTTATCACGTTTATATCAACTTGCCTTCGTGTATGTCTGTTCGGGTGGAATTTTGCAATCGATTTTAAACTAACTTCCCGACTAGCTACAGACTTCAAATTTGGCACATAGTTCAGAATTCGATGACAATGCATGAAAATGAAAAAAGACATACAAAGTAAAATAAAGTTAAAGAAAAATTAATATTTATTGCGATTGTCTTTTGTTGTGGATTCGATTATTTCAAATTAGTGTCACATGTCAGTTGAAAAGTTTTGTGTACAGTGAGTGAAATAATTGAGATTTTAGAAGTGAATGCAAAAAAAAAATAATAATATTTTCAAAAACCACGTTTTTGTAGTGGAGAATAATAATTAAAAAACAAAAATTTGAAAAACGGCAAACGTGGGGCGCGTGAAATACATAACAGTGCAGATACACATACACACGCACAACCACGTACACATCCACATACACAAACATATTCCACATTCAGATACAATTACAGGTATACATACACATATTCTCATGAGCACACATACTGTTGTGTATTTCATGTGTCCCACGTTTTTCAAATTTTTGTTTTTTAATTATTATTCTCCACTACAAAAACGTGCTTTTTAAAAACATTTTTATTTTGATTTTTTATTATTGGATATTGAAATTCCATGAAAATTCGAATTTGTCAAATCATATGACAAATATTCTAGCCTAACCCGAGTGTCGCATTCATAATAATAATATTCACTTTATTTTCCTATTAGTCGAGAACCTTGCTTACAAAAAGGACACTTGGGTGAATGACAAGCGTCACTCTTGGATGGGATGGAAAGATGGCCACTCATCATATGCTGTCGATGGCGATGAAGACACTCATCTGCGTCGATGCGCAATTCTCGACAACTATTACGTGGATTATCCAGTCTGGATGGTGGACTTGGGACAGAGGAGGACAGTCCGAGGCGTTGTCATCATTACCTGGCAAGGAAGAGGTGAAGGTAGCTGATTTATTAATGTAGCTAGTCATAAAGCAATTAAGAGTAAATAAAGAGAGCACTTCTGTTCAGTTCGTTACCCCAAAAATGTTACCGAGAAGATTTTATTGAGAAAATTAACAAAGTACAGTATTAAAAATCATTTGTTTTGACTTACCATTTTATTGATTATGAGAAGTCAGATCTTATTTGTAAATTGCTGAATATATATTGGTTTAAAAATAACTTCTTTAAATACTAAAAGTGATGTGCTCTTGCCGATTGTCCAGATAAATTAAATGACTATTTAAAAAATGAAAGAAAAACGAAAAGAGATACAAATGTACGATTTGCTGTGTTTTCACTTAAGAAACGACGTCGTTTATTCTCACCAAATTTTAAATTTAGTCAAAAAGTTCATCACAGATGGCGCTGTTCATTGATAAAACTAGTAAACAATTTTCTCTGTTGCTTGTCTAGTCTAAGCACCTTAATTGGACTATTAGCATAGGAATATGCTACATCTGTCCTTAGACTGTGCTGTGACACTTGTTGCGGTAAAAATTAGCTATCTTGAAAACATAGTTTTTCTTTGTTAGCTGCGTTATTTACGGACAAGCTTTATAACTAAATATGAAACTTGGGAAGAATAAACACTTCGTTTCCTAAGCCAAACTCAGAAAACCATGCAACATCTTCCATTTTTATTTAATTCATCTATCGAATTGTCAGTTATTTTCGGGACACCCGGTATTATATTTACTTTAAAAAAAACTCTTTGGCACAACGAACACAGCAAATAACCACACTATTCATACTTAGAAACCAGGGGAACATCCGGTTCCTCAACAAAACATAGAAAGTCACTAGTACGAGTACTAAAATGAAAACCTCTAGACATAATTGCAAAACTTTTCTCATTATTGCCTTTTTTCAAATATAAACTTTTAGTGACTTCTTCGACACGAAGCAATTAAATGGACAGTGACCCACAGTGTTAGCTTTGGAAAACAGATCGCCATCTTTGAACCATAAAACTGGTTAAATGACCTGTGTAGAATGGTACCTAAGTTTCTCCCTGTTAAATGTACTGTTGTCAGGCAGAAGAGAATGCTGCAGGCTGTTTCGTTCCCCATTTGAAACTCATACGTATTTAACATATTACTCATATCTAAATCCCTAGAATAATCCCGAATGTATATAATTCTTCATAAAAGTAATGAAAAATAATTACATTTTTCAATTACAGAAAAAGAAACTACTTCGTTTATCAATCAGCAAGTTTTATCAAACACATCACTATAATTATAATAGATGCCATAGAATAACAATGAAAATATTAAATTCAAGAGTTTTCTCCCATAAATTCCGTTACTAAACCATTTACCATATTTTTTTATAAATATTAACTATATTATTCCATGAAGCTGTTTGTCTCATGCATCATTTTAAATATTAGAACCATTAGCTAATGAGAACACTACGCCTATCCTATCGTTATGAAGATCTTAAAACAATATAGTAATGATAAGCCACATATTTAAATCGTTCATAACAGCGCCTTTAGTAAAAATAACCCTGATTTTCATACTGGTAATAAGAGTATTGTGCTGTTATTAAGTGGAAATTTGTAACGTACTGTTACGTAGAAAGGCAGATATTTTAAATTGGTTGTGGTTTCGTTAAAATATTAACTACTCGTTTTTTTTAAAAAAAAACTATTTACATTTAATTTCATTTTGATTATTATACATAAGAAATTTTCGAATAACATGCTATGGGAAACAGAAAGACCGACTCTTCCACCTATAAGTTAACGATTGAAACAAAACATAATTAGTAGTTCAACTTGCAATTTCTAATAGTTGGTTCAATTTAACATTAATTGTTAGTTCTCGTTGCCGGGGTAGTCAAACTGTTTATATTGTCAAAAGTCAACGAAGTCATTGGTAAGGGAATGTGCAGTTTCAGTTAGTCCAAGGACCGGAGCACCAGTAGGTAGAAGTCTGTCTTGGCTCCTTCGCCTACTGATATTTAGCTGGGCATAATAGAATGCCCTTCACGCCTTGGGTGGCTCTACCAGGAGTAAACTCCCGACGTACTTCACCCATTCCGCCCAGCGTCACCCTCCCGCCGCGATGAGGCAAACAGTAGGACTTAAGGAGGGTATGGCCGATATTCTTGCTAAGGAGGGTTGCAGGATTACAACTCCCTCTTCCACACTTACTTTTTAGGAGTTATACTCTCTGGAAAAATCTCGAAGGAGTGGAAAACACCCCAACCCATAATTAGTACAAGGGATCAAAACCGGGTTTGTCCCTTGACCTCCCGTGTGACAGACGTACCTGGACTGTTCTATCAAGGCTTGCTAGTGGTCACATCAAGTGCCTCACTTTCAACGAGGGCAGGAAAACCTTCGTCACCTGCACCAAGTGCCAAATTCATCAGGCTTCTTCTGAGCACCTCTTGGATTGCATGGGACTCTCAAAGGAGGATCTCTTTAGCAATCCTCTCCTAGTCTTCGACTTCCTTTCAGTCAACGAACTCGTGGATCTTGTCTGACGCCATCAGACAGAGAAGATAAGCAACAACAACAGTAGTTCAACTTACACAGGTTTCACTGTATATATACAAAATATCATATCTTAAATGTACCTATCTGGAAACAATAAACTCTTTGATGCCAAAATGTCACCTTTAGAAACGTGTGGCTCACTACCCTTCTAATGGCCGCCAGACCATTACACGGATATAGATTGTTACAATTTTAAGAGAGCATCATGAATTTTAATTTTTCAACGCATTTCGGATTATAAAAAGCGTAGTCTTAGTAATTTTTCAAGGCAAACTTGAAATAATAGGTGATGCACACAGTCATTTTTTTCCAAATGTATTAATTTTGATGTACTTAACATAGTTTTATTCCCATTCCAGATCGAACTAACGTGTACAGAGAATACATATACAACCTAGAAAAACTGACAGTTTTCGTAGAAGACAAAGCAAGACTTGAAATAAGTTCAAGCGGAGCTAAATGTGCTTCAATATCTCGCCTCAACAACGCCCTCTTCAGAAGAACTTTGCATTTCGAATGCCCTAATGATCTAATCGGACGATACGTGTATGTCAAAGCATATGGTGTGCCAAGATGGAATAGGCTTTATTCGGCCATTCTTTGTGAAGTCAGGGTTTACTGAGAATGCTTTACTTAAAAGAATCATCAACAGTATTAACTACAGCTTCTTGAGTAATGTTCAACTTATCGACATTGCTGACTAAAAGATTTGTTATGAGAAGCCATATTCTGCCATAAAACACACTAATCAACTCTTTACTCAAATAGGGTATTTTACAAAGAGACTCCTAATTTTTAAATGAAACTACGTGACAACAACGAGCAATATTAATATTAAAGAAGCGGTATTTTAATGAGGTAAGCCATAAAAATGTAATATAGACATTTCAAAAACTAATTACAAATTGCCAAAAATGTTTAGTTGCACTACAGTGCATAAAAAAAATAAACGAACCACCAAGAATAACTTTTGATCTAATAATGGGATCTTTAAGTTCTAGGTCCGAAGGGGTGATCTCAAATATGATAATTAATTAGTGCAGACATTTTAAGTTACGAAATCAGACACAAAAATGTATTTCTATGTATAAACATGTATTTTTTTGCAACGGATTCTGACAGTAGCCGCAATCTGGAAAATATAGTCTCAATAGTTAGGTCAGGAGAGCGGTATATTAAGTTTAGACCCCTTAATGTTAATTTTACTTTTTGCGTATTTCCCCATATTTCGAGAACTATTTAAGCAAATTAAAAAAAAATTCACACAATTATAAAATTCGTTTTTCAAAATATAATTTCATGCAAAAAATAACTTTCAGCATTTATTTATTTTATTTAAGGACAGTTCAAATTTTGTATTTTTGACATGTAAAATTAAATTCTTTAAAATGATGTAAAAAATTGTGTAAAAAATGTTTCAAAATCACATCAATCCTTATTCAAATTTTTTTCGACTAATATTAAATAAAATAATAAATAATTCCTAAAAGTAATTTTTTGCATGGAATTATCTTAGGATAAACGAATTTTATAATTGTGTGCAAAATTTTTGTTAATTCGCTTAAGCAATTCTGGAGATATAGAAAAATACGCAGAAAGTAAAATTAACAGTAAGGGGTCCAAACTATGGGGACACTATTTCCCAGATTACGGCTACAGCCTATATTTTGGGTGTCAGAAATCCAAATCCGTTGATAAAAAATGTATCTTTATTCAGATTAAGTACGTTTTTGTGTCTGATTACGTAACTTGCAATATCGTCTGCACTAATTAATTATCATATTTGAAGTCACCCCCTCGAATCATTAAGATTGAGTTTTAGAACGGGAAAATCAGATTATTAGGATCAAAAGTTATTCAAGGTGGTCCGTTTTGTGCACTGTATATATTTGAAAGGTGCGAGTGCATGCAATCTGATTTACATACCAGAACTTAATCACATCATAACCTTTCTCAATTATAGACAATCTGTTCCGTTATTTTATGAACAGCAACTTAAATTGTTTAATTTTAAAATTAGTTGAGAGATCTTTGTGAAACATCCTTTACCTTGAACGTAGTGGAAGAGTTATATTTAAAGGAAAAGCTACATTGAAAAACAGCTGCTGGAAGCAATCCCTAATACATCCAAAACTTTATGGGACAGCAAATGTGACTTTTAAAAAAGAAGTTGCTGACACAATGAATCGTTTTATTCTTGCTGCATATGTATTTAAAAAGCAGTCTTTAAAAAAAGACTAGTAACTGAGAAGTAGATGATTTGCTGCTCAAAAATATAATAAATTATACGAGCAAATAAAATATATTATTAGAACGTATTAAAAAATTGATTTACATACTATGAATAATTATAATATCTTTTTTTCCTATTACGAAATTTGTTGACATATTGAGATGAAAGTACAGAAACAACAGTTCATAAATATTATTAAACGATACAAATTAATTTATTTAATAATAAATATCATTAAACTCAATCAATTAACTTGTTAAGAGCAAAAAAGTTGATAATTATTGATTCATTATAAAAGTGTTAGCTTTATATAATAATCTTCTTAGGCGCTATAACCTAGAATAGAAGGTGGCAGTTCCCGTTCAGCATCCGCCATTGCTGCTTGTCCACCCCACAGAATATAATATAGCTCAATCAAATATTTCTTTATAACGTAATTACATAGATTTGGTGTATTTTTTCTTATTTAAATACATTATAATGTACAGGGTTATTCATAATTCCCTCTGTTTAATACAACTGGCTTCAGTGATACATGTTACTGCCATTTACCGGCAACTGCTTAAATTAAAACTTGAATACTTTGGAATAATTTCATATGTTCTTTTTTGCCATATTCGTCTCCGTTTTTTTACTATAACATTTCGAAACCCCGGAGGGAATTATGAATAATCCTGTATTTTAAAAGGAAAAAAATGCTCTCTTCATCAGTGGAAAAGAAAATTAAGCGAGATATATCAATTAAAAATAAATATTGAAATGCAAACTAACTTCCACAAAATACTTAATATGGTGAAAAATGTCTATGAAGTGTGATATATTTGAGGGGTGGTACAAGCTAACTAAAACATGAAAAAAATTTATAAATAAAAACATTATGCAGTGCAAGGACAGATTTTCTGTTCATGCCTACACTTATTTTATGACCATAAAATTACCCAGCACTTAGTTAAATTTTACAGTTTAAATCAACGAACTCGTAAGTTAATGGGGTTTATAATAAAAAATTAATAAGTCAAAATTTAGGGATGGGGGGAGAAAAACTAGACAACAACAGATAAGAATATACCCAAAAATTTATTTCAACTATTTACAAACAGTCAACAATAAAACTGTATGATACAAATTTGCAAGAATGAATTTCCATTTATCCCTGATGCTAATAAATGAAGATATGCGATTGCATCTAAAAGCTGAAATAATGTCCATTTAACAGAATAACAAAGAAAATTTTTAAAAAAACTACAATATATTCAACAATGATTTTTTTTTAAATCTGAGTACATGAGAAGGAATGAAAATTCATTATAGCCAGTAGTGTGAAAAAGAGATACTATTAAGTAACAATATAAATTAATAGGATTAAAAAATTTTATCCAAAATTGATGACTTAATTTGAACGTATAAAAGCGACTGAAGTTATTTTTCGTTAAAAAGTTTGACTACAGATAGTGCTAACTCAGAAAGTAACTAAGTGTCTATGTATATATGTTTGCCCTATTTGAAATGACAACTAAGTGCCTTTAAAAAACACAATAGCAGAAATCAGTACATATATTTCATATTTTAGTTTTAACAACACAACGTTGATTTATTTTGCCAAATCATTAAATTTCGAAAAACTCAGTGGATGAAGTTAATAAGTGACAGTCTGCTGTTGAAGTGAAAGAAGGTTCCAAGATCATTTGGTACCAAACAGCTGATTCGGGTTGGAAAATGTCCTATGGTAGCAAATTTAAACGCCTAGAGTATGAACGCTATGATGTGACCTGTTAAAATAAGTGCAACTAGGTATTTATAGATTTTGATAACCTGGCAAACAAGAAATAAAAGCAAGACAATCTTCATTTTCAATACATTAACTTTAAAGCTAATTTACTGAAAACCTTCATTCACTTAGATCTTTTCTTTCACGCTTTGGTGAATAATAACACTTTATATAATTATTATATATATTTCATGCTACTTGCTTTCAAGAATTGATGCTCTTCAGCAATCTGGGACCAGAAACTTTAAACTATCGAAGTTCAGTAAACAAAAAGAAATAAGAAAAAGCTCGTAGCTTTCTAATAATTCTTAAGTGTGCTGGAAATATCCCAAGCAGAATTGAACAATAATTTCAGTTTTTTTTATATATATATTTATAAATAAATAGTTAATAAAAATTTAGATTTACTTCCGGGACATGTTCAAGCAACATAACTTAGCATATTTATTTCACACGTTTTAGCGTTGCACGACAGAGTTGGAAAGACGATTTAAACAGGTACACAATTTCAAATAAAAGCATTGAAAAAAAAATTAAATTTGATTTTTACGTAATACACGCCTTTGAAAACCAACGATGCATGAAACTAAAATTAATTTATTATGAAATTTTAACTTTTTAGAAATAAATTTTAAAGTTTATTGCTTCTTAATTTAAGAAATATTGCTTAAACATACTGGCAATATTTAACGTAATATATGGGGTATTATGCTAATTTCCATTAATTTTCTGATGAATTCCACATTTTACCCACTTTTTTTCAATGACAATAGCGTTTTTAACAATTCTTGATACATATTTCCATATAGTTTATAAAATCTAAATTATTTAATAAAATTTTGTCGCGTACCACGAATCGCGCATTTGAATAATCACTTTTTATTTGGACCCACTCGATGAGCGAAGATTCAGCCATAAATTCCCGTGGTTTGCCTTATCGCTATTTTGATATTTCTACAGATTTCCATTGTTTTTAAAATCTTGATATGCATTTGAGCAATCACTTCACGACTCACTCGATTAACGACGATTCCAGTGAATTAGCGTGGTTGCGTCGATCGTTAAGTAGTTTTTAATATTTCAGTGTTTTATTACAATATTATTTCGTTCGGCGAACTTCCAAACGCGTCTTTGCAGAATCACTTTTTTACGCACTCAATTATTGACAATCAATCGGTAAACTCATGTGGTTTTATCATTCGCACTTTCGTCAGTCATGGACAACTAGTCAAATGTTCATTTAGTGACGTTAGTAGTTAACCGAGCCTAAAGCAAAGACGTCAATATTTCGAATATTTTTATACATACGTTACGTAATTGAACCTTTATCCTTGCTTCGGAGATCGCCTTACTTAAGAGACAGTCAATCGCTTTTTCATTAGTTATTATTCCCACCGATCTCTTACTTTTCACATGGTTTTTAAAATCCTTTTTTTTTTTCTTCAATGCTGCATTGATTTGAACGAGAAATTTTAAATCGCGCATTTGCAGAAACCCTTTCTGATATACAACTTAATTTGCGACGATTTTATTGTCCACATGGTTCTGATGATTGCATTTTAAATAGCCATCACTACGGTTTTTTAAATTGTAATTTTTTTTTGTTGGACGTACACTATTACGATTTGCGAATTTCGTTTTTGAATGACCATTTCATCTCTAATATGAATAATCTGAAATGTACTGCAGCCATAATCGCAAAACTTTGTTTCCGTAGTATCAAAATGTTTTGATAATTATTTTTCGAACGGAAAAAGTAATCATCGAAATAAAAATAATGCGGAGGATTATTTTTATTCCTGTTTTAAGAAATCCCTATATCGATAAAATTGGAAAGAGTAAATATATATAATAAAGGTGTTACAGTTTGATTTTAATTTTCTAAGTTATCATATGAAAATGATTTTTTCTATTAACTCATTAGTTTCTATATTTAAAAAGAAAAAAAGATATTTGCAATAAATAAATGTAGGAATTATTTTAAAAGCAAGTTTTTAAAAAAAAAGAATCTGAGAAACTGGTTTGATCAGTAGAAAAGACATGCATAAAATATGTTTTTC